AGGGAAAGACGGTACATTTCTACTGCTGTTACTCTTGATTTGTCTTTGGAGCTTGCTCATAAAGGTGCACAATTCATCTAGCCCCGAGACTAAACATACGCCTATGTCATGCTAAGTGTCATTTAGGCCCAGAAGTGACATATCTTTTCTCCAAAGTGCTAGTGCTTGTTCACAAAGACGGCCTCTTCAAATGTTGTATTACTGATCTTCTCCTGGATCGTAACGTACACTGCAAGTGGTTTTGCCCTCAAATGGGAAATCTTATTAAAGCAAGCTTTAAATTAAAATGGGGGGGAGGTGGAAAAAAAAATGCTTGCCTTAAGGCACACCTGGCACCTTCAATTACAACACCAAAAATATTTTCTTCCTTCACTTCTGTATGTTTAAAAAAAATAATCAACCTAGCTATTAGAAGCTCTTTCTTTGAGAAGAAATATCCTTATGCAGTAATATGAAAGTTGCCAATAGGTGTCAGTTTCTTCCTGTGTCTTGGACTCTCCAAATTCCTCAGAATCCAGCAGCGTTCAGTAAATACGGCCGAACGGAGGCAGGCTTTGAATTAAGGTTTGCGTTGGGTTTGTTTTCCTTTTTATGCCTTGACAGAAATAAGGTATAAATAAGCTAGCTTTTTATTTTTGCACGGGTTCAGTAATTCAACTTCCTAGTGGCTCTGCATCTTGATAAACTTCTGCATAATTGTTTGGAAGCCAGATAAAAAATGACATCTTCAAGGAAAAAAAAAACAACAGAAGTTAATTCAACTTTGTTTCCCAAAAAGTTGGACTGGTAATAAACACAGCGGCACACGGTGGTGTCTGGCAAAGGAATATTTCTGTTCCTAGTGTCAAAAAAATAAAATAATGCTGCTGATAAAAGTGCTGATACAGTGAATGTGTTAAATGTATTTTAGAATAAAATAATAATTGTTTTGAGAATCATTCTAGAATTAAAATCTCAATTTCCTAAGCAGTGAAATAAAACAGCAAAGCCAACTCCCAAATCGCTGCTTATCCTTTTAATTTTATATTTCTGATGTTGGTGCGTGTCCCAGTATGTACAGGCCTTTACTTGTGTTTACATACACGTGTGGTTTTTGCAGGTTAAATGCGACTTAGAAAACTGTCAGTTCTTAATTAGAGTTGGGAGTGTGGTTATTCATTTGAATCCAACTGGATAAATAAGCTGTTTTCCCTTACTGGTTATGCCGAAAGGCAGCAGTATGGATAAACAGGTCGTCCGTCATAAAGATCTACAATAGGAATTATTGTGTTTCAACTGAAATCATTTTATAAAAATGTAAGTTATTAGCAAGCGACATAACTTACTAAGCCGTGACTTATTATGTCCATTTTCTACACTTGGCAACAGATTTCCAAGGGCATGAATGACACTGGTGTGCCTAACTCCTTTTCAAACTCCGAGGAAGTTAGGTTCCTGACAGCTGTTTGTGTCTGACAGTTTATGCTGTGGTTCATATTCAGACCTGTTTTTAGAAAGCTTGATTAAAATCTCTTCAGACATTTTTGTATTTATAATGAGGAGGTGGGGGGGAGGGGGAATACTTCCTTCTTCAAAAATAAAAATAAACTGCACTTTTTAAATAAAGGGCAATAGCCAGTGCGGCTTTGGAACTTGTCCTGGATAGAGTCCTCAGCGAGGCTTAGTGTTTTGCTTGATTTGACAGGAAAATGAAAACTGTCTGACCAAAAAATCACCAGCAAGAATTCTCAGTAGGTAGCTAAGGTTTCAGCAGGGCTTAGTGAAGCCCTTCCTCCTTTCAAACACATCCCTGGATGGTATCCCATTCTCCCCTCAATGCAGGCTGAGTGAAGGATAGGCTACTGAAAGGATATTTTGGATGCAGGGGATTTGCATTGGAAAACGCACTTAAATCCTTTGCTCTAAAAAAGTCTGCCTTAACACGTAGGACAGTAATACGTTCTTGATGCAAGCCTAGTTATTTTAGGGCCGCCCTGCTGTTTGACTGCGTTCTGCAGCGTTTCCTAAAATCTAACTTTTCATTTCAAATGAAAACGTTTCTGCCCCTAGTTCCTCACGTGCCTTAAGATGTGCAGCTTGGGAGGAGGTTTGCTGCTCTTCTGCCCCTTACGCTTATAACCGGAGAGCAGCCCTAGAAGGAACCTGGGTACAAATTCCTGGAGCACCTCCTTTCATTAGGGAAATGTCAAGCTATAGGACCCAACAGCTTTTGGGCTCCTTTTTGCACTAAAGGAGGAGCGTGTGAAGAGGCTGGGGTGCAGCGCAGAATTAGAATGACTTGACGTTTGCAGATACCGTTCCTACAATATAAACCACTTGCAGTTGCCTCCAGCTACACAACAGTAGCTGCAAATGTTGGAAACGGCGTCTCCTACCCATCTTGCCTCGTTCAAGTGTAAGCCTCGAAGCATCATCAAGGACTTTCAAATTCTGACATGTTCTTTTTATTAATTATTTAAACATGGAAATGAGTGCAGAATGTCAAAACCATAGCGTCACAGCTAGAAATTAAGGTTTGTTCTAGTAACATTAATAGCACTTTGGAGAAAGGAAACACATGAGCAGTATTTTTTGTTTTGCGGGGGGAGAGGCTGTTTTTTGGGGGGAGGGAGGGCTGTGGTTGAATGTGCTATCTTAATATAGTTGTAATAAATATATCATCAATTATTCAGGTTGTAAAGTATGGTCAAGTTCATGCTTCTGTGAGAGCGCTAACTGTGCAACTTGAACATTGCATTAATACGGGGTTTGTTTGTTTTTTCTTTTTCATTTAATTAGAGAGAAATGTAATGATTGAATTTTAATGGCGGAGAGCCAGGGATTTTTACTGTAGGCTTTCATACAAGTACTCATAATACAGGTGCCCCAGTCTCCCATGTATGAATTCGAGGCAGGTGTTGATACTGCAGGTAATCATGGAGGGGAAAAAAATCTCTCTAACTTCCACTTCTGACATATCCACACTGAGAGGTGTTCAGGCTTCGACATCTGTCCTCCAAGTAAAGGCAACACCCGCAGTTTGTGAGGAATTCCTGCCTGTAACTTTCCTATGGAAATCCACTCTCCACTGTGTCTACATTAGCAGCCAGGCCAGCTGCATCGAGAGAGAGGCTTGTCCTGGAAGAAACAAAAAAAGAATTAATCTGGGAATGGCTGGAAGTTCGCCGTTTGAAGTCTTTCCTTGTAGCCCAGCCCAAGAAGCTCATTTGGCACTTTTATTAAACGCTTATTCCCTTGCCTTGCTCTGGAAGTTGAGGTGCAGATTTTAGATCATTGGACTTGAACTCTGCTTCCCAGATTTGCTTCAGGGCCTCTCCGTGAATATTGCATGTGGCTGCGGGATCGCAAAGCAAAGCGATGTGCAGGCAGTGGTGTTGTTGTTTGTTTAGCTTTGTAAAGAAGAAATGTGAAATAACTGGGTTTCATTGATTTGTATGCCATCAGTGCTCCCGCAACCCTCCTCCAAAAATGCTTAGTTAGTGTAATGGTGGTGATTACAAACCTGATGAGTACTTCCCTATCTATAAAGAACTTTCTCCCTGCCCCCACCCTGCGAAGAGATTAGCACAGATAACATCATACATGTAGCATTATCTTTGCATCCAATAACGAGTGCTTGTTTAGTTTCTCTTGCCCTTCCACTCCTCATATTGATATATTCTCAATCCATTATTCTCTAGAGATAAAGACAGTTATTGCAGCCATTATCTGGCACCACAGTTCTATCGATGCTGCACGGTTAGCCCCTTAAGAGGTAATTTTCCGAAGAGTTTAGTCAGTATACTTTATAGTCCATAAAGAGTCAGGAAGATTTTTGCCTAACCATGGAGCTAAAATTGTTCAATATTTACTAAATGCTCCTCTAACCCTTGAAACAAATAAATAAAAATAGACGGTAATCTGTGATTCGGGGGTTATGCTGTAGTTTGCTTTTTATTATTGGCAGTCACGTGCCGGATGCTGGTGACTTCAACCTACCATCGCTTGGTTCTGGAAATGATCTTAGGCTTCTTTTGTACATTTGTGCATCCCTCTCCCCCAATCCACAAACAGGCATCAGTTCGTGGCTGACCTCTCTGCTCCACAGCTGGAATGTGAGATGTCTTATGGAGGAATTAAATGTGAAATGGAGTTAAACAGGAACT